GGTTGAGCATTGGCCCTCAAACCGAAAGGTCACAGGTTGATTCCTGGTTGGGGCACATGCCCAGGTTGCGGGCTCGATGCCTGGTTGGGGTACATGCAGGAGGCATCCAATCGATGTTTCTCACATTAATGTTTCTGTCTCTCTCCCTCTCCCTTCCTCTCTCTAAAATCAATAAAACCATATTTTAAAAACTGTCATAATAAAAAATAAAATATAATGAAACAACAAATTATGAGCTGACCATTATCTGTGGCTAGAACTGCACTGTCCAGTAAAGTGGACACTAGCCACATGTGGCTATTTAGCACTTGAAATGAGCTGCAGGTGTACAACAAACCATATTTTGAAGACTTACTATGCAAAAAAGGAAAATGTCTCATCATTTTTATTTGGTTACATGTTGAAATAATACAGTGGCGGGCAAAAGTAGGTGTTAATAATAATACATAATATAATAAATAAATAATGATACAAGAAAAAACTTGAATACTCAAAACTGTAAACCTACTTTTGCCCACCCCTGTATTTTGATAGGGTTAAATGAAATACATTATTAAATTTTTTTAAAATATTTTTTAAAATTGATATTTAGAGAGAGAAACTTCAGTCAGCTGCCTCCTACACACCCCCCATTGGCAGGGATCAAGCCCACAACCCAGGCATGTGCCATGACCAGGAATGAAACCGGCAACCTTTCAGTGCATGGGACAATGCCCAACCAACTGAACCACAGCAGCCAGGGCTACATTATTAAATTTTCTAAAAGACATGTTTAATACAGCACTCAATAGTATGTATATGTGGAATGAAGGAATCACACCTAAGCTTGGAATGTGGACCCTGCTTACTTGGTCAGGCAACTTAACCTCTCTGGGCCTCAGTTGATGTTTTTTCCCTATAACATGGGGATAAATAATAATCCTCTAGGGCTGTTACTTCAAGCCACTCACTTTAAAGAAGTGCAGCTCATCCCCAGCATCTCTCTATCATTCAGGATTAGAGGCAGTGATTCTAACCTCACAGCATCTTGCTTTGTTTTTTGCCACTTGTTGGCTCTGCACTGGGATCGTATGTCTTTTTCACTGCTTGACCCAGCACCCAGCCCAGTGCATGGCATATAGAAAGTGCTCGCTAAGTGCTGAATGAATGAGATTAAGTGACCCCAGCACAGATGTTCAGTGAGGATCAGTAACATCCTTGTAATCTTTCATGTTTGGGACATATCTGCTTCCTTACTGCCGTCACCCCAGGGTGCTAAGTGAGAGGCATCCAGAAAACCTGTGTGGAAGGGGCGAATGGAGCTTAGCAACTTATAAGAGGTTCTCAGGACTGGATGGGACCCTCTCTTCAGGGCCCACCACCCTCCCTTCTCAAGCCACCCTGCCCTAGCCCCAGCCTGGCTTGGCCCCCACAATTGCAGTAAGAGCAGGAGAAGCACAAGAACTGAGGCCAAGGCCCTGATCCAGTGCCAGTAGCCTGAGTCCCCTCACTCTGGCCATCAGTGCATCTGTCCCCTTGGAACACAGAAGTGGCTGGTCAGCCTGGGGAGGGAAGCCCCTCAAAGCTGGCCTTGCAGGAGGGACCAGGGCCAACCACACTGGGAACACATCGAAAGGGGTCACACAGAGACAATCTATAAACCAAGTGTCTGGAAGTTAGGCCAGAGGCTGGCAAGGCATCCCTTTCCCCACCTCCACCCCCACCCTCCTTTCTCCAGTTGCTTGGCAACCACTGTGCATCTGGACCAGAACAAGAGGCAACTGGGCATAACAGGAGTCCAGGCCCAGCAGACAGGACAACTGCCTCCCCAAGAGATGCATGATGATGGGGAGGAGGGGAGAGAAGGGCCCTTAGCTGCTTCTCTCAGAGGCCACCTAAGCTGGTGGGACCCTGAGGCATCAGAGGTTCAGGAGAGCTGTAGGCAGCACCTGGGGATGAGGGAGATCTGATATACAAATTAACTGCAGAAAAAAACCCAATTCAGCTGGTGGTACTTCCCCAGTATCTTTACTGGGCCTCTGCTCAATGGCCCTCCCCCGTTACGGAGGGGATTGTCCCCTTTTCCTTCATAGTATTTAAGAAAAGTTTATTTTCCTGGCCAAGAAAAAAGGGCAAATGACTTGGCTTCCTTGACCCTCCGTCTTCTCCTCTATAAAGTGGGCCAACGTTGAGCACCTGGGAAGGTCCTCAAGTAGAGAAATAAGAAATACTCAGACTGCAGAGGAGTTCACTCCAAAGGGAGCAGTTGGTATTTCCCCTCATAGAGTCCCCCGCCCACCCTGCTCTACAGTAGGGCCACCTATGTATGCCCACTAGAGGTGCTTTCCACAGAGGTGCCTCCCGGAGCAGAGCTGTGGCCCTGCCCACCACCCTGGTACTACAGCCTGCCCTGCCGGCCCTGGGGTGTAGTCAGTCCCAGAGTTTGGCTCAGCTCTCGGCCGGAGACCACCCGCAACGACTCCCATTGTCAGAGCTGGTGACCAGGAAGCAGGAGGAGGCTTTTGTCCCCACAGCAGCACTCATTTCACACAAGATGAGAAGAGGGTCCCCCGCTGGAAGCAGTTTATCCTTAACACCTCCAGCCGCTGTAGGAACGGAAGAGGCCTCCCCTCTCCCGGTTCAGCCTTGACCTGACCATGATATGTGGCCTCCTCACACTCAGCAGCTGTGGTCGTTAGAACTCGGGGTTTCCGTTCAGGGCCTCGCCTTCCTGAGCATCTCGTCTCCCACCCAAACACCTGGGTCCTGAGCCGAGTCCAAGAAACGCGCAAATCCCTGCGTGATTTGCGTTCTGGTTCCTCAGCTTCTCTGCCCTCCTGTTAAGGCTTCACTGGAACGAACTGTGAGGCCCGGGGCGGGAAGACGGACTCACTCGCCCGGGACCTCGGCTAAGTCTAGGTGACTACACGTCTTGGCCGCTGCCCACCGGCGGGGAGGCAGCGGCAGCGGGCCGGCGGCTCACGCCGCGTCCCCACGCCCGCAGCCACGCGGAG